CGTGTAGATCAGTGTGTTGAAAAGTGTTAAGGCCAACGTTTAGATCCGTGTGTTGTAAAGTGTTAAAACAAACGTGTAGATCAGTGTGTTGAAAAGTGTTAAGCCCAACGTGTAGACCAGTGTGTTGAAAAGTGTTAAGGCCAACGTGTAGATCAGTGTGTTGAACAGTGTTAAGCCCAACGTGTAGACCAGTGTGTTGAAAAGTGTTAAGCCCAACGTGTAGATCAGTGTGTTGAAAAGTGTTAAGCCCAACGTGTAGATCAGTGTGTTGAACAGTGTTAAGGCCAACGTGTAGATCCGTGTGTTGAATAGTGTTAAGGCCAACGTGTAGATCAGTGTGTTGAAAAGTGTTAAGCCCAACGTGTAGATCAGTGTGTTGAAAAGTGTTAAGCCCAACGTGTAGATCAGTGTTTTGAAAAGTGTTAAGGCCAACGTGTAGATCAGTGTGTTGAAAAGTGTTAAAACAAACGTGTAGACCAGTGTGTTGAACAGTGTTAAGGCCAGCGTGTAGGCCAGTGTGTTGAATAGTGTTAAGGCCAACGTGTAGATCCGTGTGTTGAATAGTGTTAAGGCCAACGTGTAGATCAGTGTGTTGAAAAGTGTTGAAACAAACGTGTAGACCAGTGTGTTGAACAGTGTAAAGGCCAACGTGTAGATCCGTGTGTTGAAAAGTGTTAAGGCCAACGTGTAGATCAGTGTGTTGAAAAGTGTTAAAACAAACGTGTAGACCAGTGTGTTGAAAAGTGTTAAGAACAACGTGTAGATCCGTGTGTTGAATAGTGTTAATGCCAACGTGTAGATCAGTGTGTTGAATAGTGTTAAGGCCAACGTGTAGATCAGTGTGTTGAAAAGTGTTAAGGCCAACGTGTAGATCAGGGTGTTGAAACATATTAAGGCCAACGTGTAGACCAGTGTGTTGAATAGTGTTAAGGCCAACGTGTAGATCAGTGTGTTGAAAAGTGTTAAGGCCAACAGACTAGTTAAATCACAACCACATTGTCTGGAGGCCAAGTATCGTCCTTAACACCTAACAAGGTGTCAGCTTAAAGCCGACTCGAATAAGCCCGTAATAGAGTAGCAAGTTTGTATTTTAAGATAAAGAAAATATATTAGCGATCAATGAAATCAACCGCTTTGTAACAAGCTTCAGTTTGACAGTGTCAACAAGCAGACCGGCGGGTCAAAGCGACGTATGCCTCCATGCCGACATAATATATACCTCCACGACCCACCTCGTCTCAATAGTCAATACAGGGTTGTGTTTTAGAAGGTAGTTGACTTGCCTCCTCGGTCTGTCATTTTTATAGAATGCGTGTCGGTAGATAATTTATGATAGATCGTTTGGCTTCTTTTAAAAGGTCATATTACGTGCATAAGTAACTCTGTAAAATTGTTCTTATTAATCACAGTTCGACATGAAGTGTTCTCGTGATTGACTGAAGATTGACCCATAGCTCAATATATCATCACTACTTGATAGTGATTCATTAGCGCATGCTTATGATGTAGTCAGAATCGAGCAATCCACTCTGCTTTAAGCGGCGATTTCTTGTGAGAATGGAAAGGGTTTTGTCGCGTTTAATAAGAATTATATTTTTTGAAAATTCAACATTTAAACAATTTCAAGAACAAATAGTGCCAACCATTGTTTGTATTATTTACACAAGCTTATGTGAAAGATCTAGTTATTCCCATCCCTAATTAGATACAGCAGGTATAAAATTGATAGTCAAATTGAGGTGCAACGTTCTTTTTCGCGCGGTATGCATTAAAATGACATCATTCTACCATTGTGGTGCATTGCATACACAGAAGATTGAACCGTGTTTAACGTCACAAAGTATACATCATCATGATTATTATTTATTTTCTGTTATCAAAAAGTTTATATACCAAAGTTACGTTTACCTTGGACATTTTCTTTTTTTATATTGTAGTTAGACTCAAACCACCCTTTCAATGTAGGTCAAATTCACAACCAAACACGTGAGATTGAATTAAAGTTTAAATTACAATATATGCTTTCTGTGTCTTTCAAACCAGACGATATTTTACCAATACTTCACAGTCATATACGACTGTTAACTATTCCTATGTATTTGTTGTGTGAGTATGGTTTTAAGCCGCTTATAGAATATCGCGGCTAGGGACACCGAGATTTGACAACATCCAAAGTACCCAATAGGGAATCAAACCCGGTCCCCGGCGTGATGACTGATGCTTTAAACAATAGGCCATTAAGCCATCATCTGTTCTGAATATACTGTAAATTCCTTGTTAGGTGGGCATGCTTCCAAGTATCAGCATTACCGTCGTCTCATCGTTTCATGGAGGAAGTGTTAGTATCCGATGTCCAATTATTCCAGTATTTTATTGTCTGTCAGTAGGATTGAGGAAAAGCTCCAGACCCTTACTCGATCCTCTTTCCTTTTCAAAAGTACAGAATGATAATAATAATAATAATAATCATCATCATCATCATCTTCATAATAATAATAATTTATGCATTTGTATAGCGCAGCATTCACTGTGCATAATGATCAATTTATCAATACATGCAAACAACAAGAATATGCAAGAATATAACCAGTCTTGATTGTCCGCCGAAACAGATTCCATTTGGCATAAAGGGCAAAATAGCGGTGTAAATTTTATGAATGGACCCGAATGTGAACATGAAAATTATATGAATTACGACATTTGATGAAATGATGCAAAACACTTTCAGAATTTGAACCACAATTTCACATATGATATTTTGAATAAAATAAATTTTAAAATAATTACATGTGTGCCTTGTATGTAAAATATGTGCTTGCCTATTTCCTATCAGATAAATACAAGGGACATTGGTTTAGTTTCTGGCATATTTTCTGTTTAAATACTTTTAAAGAACATTCTCCTTTCACTACTGTTTAAAGTTGATTCCACATTTAGGTACTATCATAAATTATATCCGACATGTGTCTACAGACATACTGGCTTTTGTAAATAATTCTTCCATCAACCCAACCACGAACAATGACATTTTTTGTTTGTTTGTTTGTTTGTTTGTTTGTTGTCTTACCCCGCACTCAGCAATATTCCAGCTATATGACGGCGGTCTGTAAATAATTGAGTATGGACCAGGCAATCCAGTGATTGAAATCATTAGCATCGATCCACGCAATTGGGATACGATGACATGCATCAACCAAGTCAGCAAGTCTGACCACCCGATCCCTTTAGTCGCTTCTTACGACAAGCATAGTCACCTTTTACGGCAAGCATGGGTTTCTGAAGACCTATTCTATCCCGGATCTTCACGGGGCAAAAACAACATGTAGTACAGGTGAATTATTCCATGTAGATAAGTAATACTGAGATCACCAACACTTCGGACAGTTTTAAAGCTCATCTAAAAACGCCAATAGTTTTGTACTGACCCGAATGACGTATACCGCCTGTCGTGCAATCTCCGAGTATTAAGCCTGTATCTATTGAAGTGGATCGATATGGAATAGACATCACCTACAATCTCCCTCGCGTCACAGAAATGTTTATCTCTAGTACAAATGGCCACACTGACAAGCGATTATACTTGTATATGAACTATGAAATATTACCCTATCTGGCTCACCGTGGAATGAGGGGCCGGGTGTAGATGGGGTGGATTTTAACTCAAGTTTGGGCGGGCCGTCAGAACACGTACCATTTGAGACATGACACAAGGACTTGGTTTTATAATAATTTGTTGTAATGACAAATATTTCTGTTGTAGTATTGAACGTTCTGGATTAATGATGTGAATAATAACATTACTTGATTATATTTGCTGATATGTTTGTCGCTTATGATTAATCGAAATTGCGTCAGATTATTATCACACTTTATTCATGTAATTCTATGCAGGTGTTTTCTGTTCGCGCTGAAACCCGCTAGCTCAGGCAGTAGTCATGGAAGAGTAACCTCCCTTTGATTGATCAACTTGACGTGTTTTGAATTGGGTGCATGCCCGATTGCAGACAGTACCATGTTGACGTCAAGACGTTAATGAGTCTGTATGACGTCAAGACGTTAATTAGTCTGTATGATAATACCTGGAGCATGTTTGGCTTTTCTTATCATATATCATGTTTATTTTATCAAGTGATCTGACAAAATAGATATTTTGTTAAAATGTCAACGTTTTAAGTAACGTTATTAGATGAATAAGACATATTTTTTTACAATGGTTCTTTTTACCATATATACTTTTATCTTTGTTTGAAAAGCAGTGCCACCGGAAGCCCACCATTCTAAAGCGCCACTAGTCGCAGTGCGGAGTTGCGCCCCTTTGTCGTACCGGAATCCGGTCATCGTGGGTTCGAATTTCAGATTCGCCCCGATTATGATTCTTGGTTTATGACAGACATCATTCTGTTTCCACGGGTTTCGCCTAACTCGTACACGCCTAGAACTTGCCTTACTTGGGGCTTAGAGTCCCTTCCCACATTTAGCTGACCCGCTGTGAAGATAACTGACCGCCTCCGTGGTCTAGTGGTAGAGCGCCCGGAGAGCGGAAGGTATGGGGTTCGATCCCCGGCTGCGTAATACCAAAAGACGTTAAAAAATGGTACTTGTTGTAACCCTGTCTGGCGCTCGGCATTAAGGGGCTAAAACAAGGACTGGTCGGCTCGGAGTCAGTATACTGTGTCTGAGTGGGGTATTCATGTTAAACTGCGGCATGGTATCTCAGTGTGCTAGCACTATAAATCGGCATCAGTCCGGACTAGCTATAGTACAAGCAGCCACACACACACATGTACACGCACGTCGCTATATAAATGTAATACTCTTAACGACGTTAAACCCCATTTCACCTCACCTCACCCGTGACATAACTGGAATATTGTTCAAAGCGGCGTAAAACCCCTCTAACCTTGGTGACAAGTTTGCGATGAAACCTCTGGGACTGTTTTTCCTGAAACGATTAACAAACACGACTTTTCACATATATGTATGTATACTTTGTTTTTCAGCATGAAAACCACATGACGCTGCCCCAAACCAGACCCACCCACGTCTACTAGCCGCTGGCGACGCCGGCATGGGGAGCGGCTTCAGCACGTGCAACGGCCCAGCGACGGTGGCCGTGAGGTCAAGCATCTCTAGGCATGAACAGGAGGGATTGGCTCTGTCCGACTCCCACGACTCGGGGATCTCCGAGGTCGGGAGGGGCCGCCCGGGGGGTGTGGACGCGAGGGAACTGGAACGCCACTTCTTCGAGTCGAACCAGGAAGGTCCTGGAACCCCCCGGTCGTTATACGGGTCGGGATCGCGACATCGACCGGAAATGGCGCCCACTGACCACGGCAACAACTACCGCCTTCATCTAAGACGCAACCACAGCTTGTCAGAGTTCGCCATCACGGAAGAAGACGAAGAGTCAACGCCCACTAGAACCCGGATGGTGAGACCAAAGAGTGCTAACGTGAGGAAGAGGCGTGGCTTGAAGTCTGGCAGAAGACGATCGGGGACGGAGAAAAGCCGGAAGACGGAGTCCACTGGGGGTCTGAGCAGTGACGCTACTGACAGTGACCTTGACAGTGAAGATTCCGACGTCCTGTCCATACCGGATGAAACCGGTCCTTTCCGTTTGAACGATGATTGGTGGAGATTAGATTCGAGCGTTACGCGCGATCCACGTGACTATGGCAGCTTTAGCGTTCGTAGTGTTCACGATGTGAATATCGCCAAGAAAGCAAGTGAACGCTCAATATCCAGTATAATCTTGTTTGATCCAGTTTCTACTAATTCTGATTGGTGTGTCTTTACTAACCCGGATGCTGCTAATATTATACGAAAGGTAAGGTGAACAAAATGATCCTTTGTTCTAAGAATATAATACATTTTCTCAACAGTAATTGGTCCTATTTATACATTGATATAACACTATCGACATCTTTATCCAATTGGTAAAAATGGATGATATAATGAGAACAATTACAAAACACGTTCATTTTAAGCCAAGCAACCAATTATGCGGTAGAAGTTCCACACCGAAAATAGGGGTTAGAATTGATCTTCAGCAACCCATGCTGTCGTAAGAGGCGACTAAAGGGATCGGGTGGTCAGACTCGCTGACTTGGTTGATGCATGTCATCGTATCCCAATGGGTAGTTCGATGCTCATGATGTCAATCACTGGATATTTACAGTTTCCGTCGTATAGCTGGAATATCGCTGAGTGCGGCTAACAGATATAAGTAACAGTATTAAAGGGGGTGGAGGGCGGGTTAGAGCCTTGTGGTCAAAGCGTTCGTTCTTCACGCCGAAGCCTTAGGTTCTGTAGGGGCGGTCGGGTAGCCTAGTGGTTAAAGCGTTCGCTCGTCACGCCGAAGACCCGGGTTCGATTCCCGACATGGGTACAATGTGTGAAGCCCATTTCTGGTGTCCCCGCCGTGATATTGCTGGAATATTGCTAAAAGCGGCGTAAAACCATACTCACTCACTCACTTAGGTTCTGTTCTAGACATCGGAACTCAAGCCAATATATGGTATCCTTGACGTGATATTGTTGGACTACAACTAAAATCGACCTAAAACCCTATTAACTCACTCATGCACTGGTTTGAATCTTCTATCCGATACACTAAAGAATTGCACGCACCGGATGGTCTGTCTGAGTTTGCATGGACAAGTTCCTATCATATTACATATAACGCATGTGTCAAAGACATGGAATGCCAACTAATACGCATGCCCTGTTGTTTTGAAGTGGTGTAAGATCTCCTTTAAATAACTGCCCAAATATCTCTGCTTTTGTAAAGAGCATACGAGTGCACTAAAGTGTACAATAGTTTGGAGTGACGCCGTTGTTTCTAGCTGTTCTGCAGCACCGAGATGAAATATGTGTTTTCAGAGTGATGCTCATATAACTGCTATGTGCTTCTAAATAATTCGCAGCCCCTTACCAAAACGCCACTTTTAAGTTCCGAATATGTGACTGTGTAATGTTGTTACTATGTGTAGCCGGTTGGCCCAGTCGTCTTAGGCCCCACATTTCGCTGTGCAGAGTTGCGTCCCTTGGGCACGCCAGAAACCTATGATTGTGGGTTCGAATCCCTGTTCGCCCCGATTATGTTTCTAGGTTAGTCGGCACCATACCCGTGCTCGTGGGTTTCACCGAAGTGGTAAACGTCTGAGACCTGCATCACTTCGGCTTTCCTCCCACATTAAGCTGACACGCCGTGATGTAAGTGGAATACTGTTCAAAGAGGCGTTAAACTCACTTCACGAAATTATTCACTTACGTTAATCTCTCTCTGTCTCTCTGTCTCTGCCTCTCTCTGTCGACCGCCTCCGTGGTCTAGTGGTAGAGCATCCGTCCGGAGTGCGGAAGGTCCGGGGTTCGATCCCCGGCCACGTCATACCAAAAGACGTTAAAAGATGGTACTTGTTGTTACCCTGTCTGGGGCGCGGCATTAAGGGGTTAAAGCAAGGACTGGTCGGCTCGGAGTCAGTATACTGCGTCTGAGTGGGGTATTCATGTTCCACTGCGGCATGGTATCTCAGCGGGCTAGCACTATAAATCGGCATCAGTCCGGACTAGTACAAGCAGCCACAAGCACACATATATAACACGTCGCTATATAAGTGCAAAAAACGCGACGTTAAACCCAATTTCACCTCATCTCTCTCTCTCTCTCTCTCTCTCTCTCTCTCTCTCTCTCTCCCTCATTCGTGTTCAGCAAACCTAGAAATGAGTGAATTGTTGTAGTGGTCCCACGCACTTTCTGTCCGAGTGTCTTAGTTAAATGGGCGGAATTACCTGCCTGAGTTTCAACTTGTAGCGAGCACTTTTTCAGCACAGATGCCACTAAAGTCTGTGCCACAGATGCCACTAAACTCTACCTGTACCAGACTTGCGATTATCAAACCTTAACGTAGCTCTCTGGAAATGTAACCCAGTCCCGTTTCCCAAAGCAATCGTAACATACAGCTGATAAAATTATTAATGAACCTATAAGACCTACGACACTAATAGCCCCGTTCCGCAACGCGACCATAGCTGTGAGTATCGTAAGTCTATGTTAAAACCCAAGGTCCGATTTACGAAACAATCTTAGCGTGCGACTGTCTAAAATGTTAACATGGACGACGTCAGTCATAGCGCTTAGATCGCTTTGTTGAACGGGCCATTGGTCTTAATGTCCAAGCTTAACATCTGTTTGAATGGGCTTTCCCCAACAGAACATTACAGAACTTGAAGAGGAACTGTGGACGGGAGTGAAGGCGGCGTCGGAGGACTGTCGTGGAGAGATTGGGGACTTTGTCCAGCTTGTGCGGCGATATCGGTCTAGTTTCACCCGCCTCGTTCTGGAATACAGGCAGGCGTCGGAACCCGCCTCCAGCTGGAACAGGGACCCGGATGAGGAGGTATGTTGATCAGTGTTGACACCATTAGGGCTCACCTAGTATAGCATATCCTTGATTATTAAAAGTACAATTACCTATCTCCAGTCTTACTGAAATCAGATCATGACCTGACTATCTCTACCGTTGGTCTTCGCGATCGGGTCAAACGAGATCCGTCTACCCCAAGACATATCTTCTTTATACGAGATCATAAACGTTTCATATACAGAAGACCGCCTCCGTGGTCTAGTGGTAGGGCGTCCGCCCAGAGAGCGGAAGGTCCGGGGTTCGATCCCCGGCCGCGTCATACCAAAATACGTTAAACGATGGTACTTGTTGTTACCCTGTCTGGCGCTCGGCATTAAGGGGCTTAAACAAGGATTGGTCGGCTCGGAGTCAGTATACTGTGTCTGAGTGGGGTATTCAGGTTAAACTCATGTGGGGTATCTCGCTGGCACTATCAAATCGGCATTAGCTCGGACGAGTACAAGCAGTCACACACAAACACACACACACACACACACACACACACACACACAGAGGCATGCACGTCGCTATATAAGTGCAACAATCTTGACGCGACTTTAAACCCCATTTCATCTCACCTCAGCCTGTCGTAGTTACCTGTATAGAATCTACCTTTTATGGCATTGTCAGTAGTGTATTCCTGCGCTTGTTGATTCCACTATTTTGAGCACCCGTCTAAGACCTGTATCAATGCTCCTGATTCATCGTGACGTTACAGAAATACAGAATTAATCACTTGTCCACAATTTCTTGCAGAAGTTGAAAGCATACGAGGAACAGTTTGCCGAGGGGCTGTACTATCGACAGGCCACGCTCACCCGACAAGAGTTATCTACCTTTCTAGCAGAACATCTGCAGCGCATAGAGGGACAGTTAGAGGCGGAAGTGTGTGGAGCTAGTCATCTTGGTGATAGCGGAAGTGACGTAATGGGTGCTAATGATTTGTTGAGCTCTTCTGAAGTTGACAGTAGATGGGCTAAGGGCACCGCCCCCAAATTACGGGAGGTACCAAATATTGAACAGGTGCGTGCATTTTATGTAAAGTCAATAGAATTCCGTCGGTGTCATATGACACATAAATTCATAAATATCTACAGGCAAAATTAACTTTGCTTATGTTCTCAGATTTATTGGAAGAACATCAATAAAAGAAATTCTCTTTTCTTTGAAGATTTTAAGTTTATTGGTATTCAACTATTCTTGAAGATAGAACCGGATGGATATCTAAAGATTTAAAACAAACTCAAGGCGTCATGTTCAACGTAGCAATTTTGGTGTTTTACGCAAGTTCTCATGTCTGGTTTGTGGTTCGTTTTGTATTAGAAGTCTATTCAGCCCGTGAAACCATATTATGCATATAATCATTGTTATGCATTTTTATATCGATACATTGGTATGATTAGATAAATTTAACTTTGTATATAAGTTTAAACAGTCAAAATTGAACTCGTGACATTTTAGTAAAACGAACAAACATAAAATACTATGTACATGCAACTGAATGCCATCCTCGATTGTCCAGTGTATTATATCTCCATTCTGTTATAATATGTACCTTGAGCCCATTCGCTACCATAGCCGAACCTTAAAGATCCGGGATAGAATAGGTCTTCAGCAACCCATGCCTGTCGTAAAAGGCGACTATGCTTGTCGTAAGAGGCGACTAACGGGATCGGGTGGTCAGGCTCATTGACTTGGTTGAAGCATTTAATCGTATCCCAATTGCTTGGATCGGTGCTCATGATGTCAATCACTGGATTGTCTGGTTCAGACTCGATTATTTACAGACCGCCGTCATATAGCTGGAATATTGCTGACAAACAAACAAACAAACAAACAAACAAACAAACAAAGGCTTCCATAGCCTCGTTTGTTAGATGATACAAGTCTCCCGTATAATTACTCTCTCACATTTGCCACGTGCAGGATGTCCTGAAAGCATCGGGATGTAAAAATGTGATTGTCCAGCTCCTCCCTTCAGAGTTAAAGATGCTTATCCTGAAACAGTGACAAAAAACATAATCTGTCTCCAAAATCGCAGGACCCCTTTAAGACTATATGGTCATTGGGGGAGGTCAGGTTCGCTCGTCACGCCGAAGACCCGGGTACGCTTTCCCACATGGGTACAACGCGTTAAGTCCCCCCGCTGGGATATTGCAGGAATATTGCTAGATGCGGCGTAAAACCATACTCACTCTCTCATTCACATAGTCTAGCTTAGGGTTTTGCCATTCAAATCGGATTAATTACAAATATATGAAAACCAATTGCCCCATGTTTGACGGTAGCTAGAATGACGCAAACAAGAAATGGTTATTCGAAGGTGATGTATTTCATACGGGTATTTTAGTCGTGTTTGGACATTACAGTGTTTGCAGTGTTTCGGCGACTGTGTTAATCCTAGTAACGTTTCGGTTACTTTCGTACTTTTTTTGGTGAAATCCAATTTTCATGTGTATATTTTCTTTTGCCCGGCATTTTATTTATCATAGTTGAGTCTAGAAATAATACACTGGATAATCGAAGTTCTCTGGATAAATGCGACACTTTTTTCTATCTTGCAGTTGACAGATGCTTTGTCTTTAGTCCTTACTCGGAATCGTGTAGGCGTGACCTTAGATGACCTTCTTCCGGTTATACGAAGCCACCATCCACGTGTAAATGCACTTGTGAGTATGACGCATCTTGATAACTCACTCACTCAACTCACGTTGACGGCAACACCCCCTCCGACCAAACGTTTGAATTAATCATTCAACCAGTTGGACGAACAGAATCAAATCGTTCAGTACAGTAACAGATATATCGGTTTACGTGATACCCTAGTCCATCGAGTTCACCCCGTCTGTATGTCCATGAAACAAGACTCTGTCACGATATAAGACCACTTCTCACCAAGTGTAGGTAATGCGGCTTGATCGCCTTTAAAGAGGATCAGATGATCAGGATACTAGAATGAAGCGAAGCCATACCGTCAATACAGACCCTCACACAACCCCTTGGCAACACAGCAGGGCTAGGCGCGTGGCTGACTCCCCTTGCCTCTCCCGAACACTCTCCATGCACTGGTAGTCTGTTTGCCTCGTACCAACTGCACTATGTGATGTTTACAAAGCAGGTGTAATGTGGTTGTTAGTCACGACCGATTGGTGAAATCGCTTCACCTGGTCACGCTCAATCATACAATATTATGTGATCAAAATGACTGACGGGTGGCAATCATTTTTTTGTCATTCACCCTTGTGCCTAGCCCCCACACGGACTTGTTTAATTAGCACTAATCTGACACGAGGTTTAACCAACGTGCTGTAGATGGTATTATCAGCTGACGGCTGCACTGTAGCTGCGATTTCAGCAGACGACATTGACAGTAACTCGTCACAGCTTCTGGTAGAGCTCATTCCGCTCTGGTAGAATATAAGTGAAGTCGGATGTATTCATTTATGTTGTGGACGTAAAATTTCATTGGAAAATGTGAGCTGTCATAATCATCATCAGATTCCATTTGAAGCAGATGTGGATTTTAAACTGTATATATACCAGGACATATTTGTGTTGTGTGGATAATATCGTCATCAGTGGGTCAGTTATCGTGTCTGACGGGCGTGAAGAGTGTCCATCATATCTACCTGTTCGTGTGAGCATTAACCCAAATGTATTCTTAATGACTACGAACTCTTAACGTCTGTATTGCACTTGATAGAGGCAGACGACACCCTCAGACGACCTTAGTCAGCAGACGAGAGTTCTGTAATCTCACACCTTGCTGCTAGACGCATTGCTTGTACTTACCGATTACATCCGTAAGATCTAAACAAGTAATTCAGTGGGTTTAGTTAATATTTTAGAAAGTAAATATCACATCGTGCAGACGACAATAAAATCAGAACAATGATCACGGTCAAATTAATGTTAATAATCAATATCGATTGTCGTGTATATTGAGGGTCATTTATACTGTACAAGTCTAACGCTCTCCACATGCTTAATCCGACTCCACGTGAATCCCTATTGATTGAACCTGTTATGAGTTTTATTGTTAAGACTGGGCTTATTGAATCTTGGCTATTTATATTTGTGCACGAAGATGCTCCTTGCATGGTGTCCACTAACAGTTAAGTTTAACTACCAAGTAAATGAACTCGCAGGTGTTCCAGACTGGCTGTGTCGCCTGCACCAACAGCCCCGTTTCATCTAATAAGCCGACACATATTAAATTTGTCATAATAGACAAATACCTCCGACACAGGGCTATAGGGAAAGACTGTTTTGATCGGATATCTTTGATTCTGTAGTACATGAACTAGTCCACCCAGTCAGATCAGCGTCAGTCATTCAGAGGTAGCCATGAAGTATTTTCGACGCTTTCAAAGGTTAGGCCAAATCAGCTAATGTTCAATTAGTTCATCTGGCCTACAGATCTGATGTGATTAAGACCAGAGCCAGTACCTGTGTCAGAGGAAGCGCCAAGGGGCTTCGGGCGAGAAACGGATAGTTTACACAGGTCTTAAAGATTCTTTGTCGGCAGCCTCTTTGATCCGAGACGGTAGCTTACGAACGAAACGTATAGAAGCTCTGATAATACTCGTCACTTGCTCTATTGTCAGAAAATAGTGTACGATAACGGCTCGGTCAGAAGAGCTTTATGGAATTGCCGTACAAGCAGGTACAATGGTAATTTGATATTAACATGGACGCTGCGAGACATTATTGTAGGTAAAACATCCGTTTCTGAAGAAGTATTTGGATGGTTCTGCTGATTCCAAACCTCATTTCAGCAAGTTTTACACAATTGTCTCACGGTTACGTCATGGCGGCCTTCAAGTGAGTGAGTGAGTTTGGTTTTATGCTGCTTTTAGCAATATTCCAGCAATATCACGGCGGGGGACACCAGAAATGGGCTTCACACATTGTACCCATGTCGGGAATCGAACCCGGGTCTTCGGCGTGACGAGCGAACTCTTTAACCACTAGGCTACCCGACCGTCCCGCGGCCTTCTAGAGGAGGGCGGGACAGAACCAGACAAACCCGTGTTAATAATCAGAACCGTCGCCGCTTTCATACTCATGTACAGTAAACTACGGTTATAACGAACTCAAAGGGTCCACTAATTTTAGTTCGTTATAACCGTAGTTCGTTATAAGCACATATACAGCATAACTACAGCAAAAAGTCGGGACAAAAAGAGTTCGTTATATCCGTCAGTTCGTTATAAGCGTGTTCGTTATAAACGTAGTTTCCTGTATCTGTCATATGAAACAAATGGTCACAAAATCAATCATCAATAATACCTTGCGTCTTTGAGATACTTTATCATATCATATATCATAGATGGTAATCCAAGTAAATTCATACTCATGTACAGTAAACTACGGTTATAACGAACTCAAATTTAGTTCGTTGTAACAGTAGTTCGTTATAAGCACATATACAGCATAACTACAGCAAAAAGGCGGGACAAAGAGTAAGTTCGTTATATCAGTCAGTTCGTTATAAGCGTGTTCGTATTAAACGTAGTTTCCTGTATCTGTCATATGAAAAAAATGGTGACAAAATCGAACATCGATAATACCTTGCGTCTTTGGGATACTATATTATACTATATATCATAGATGGTAATCCAAATACATCCATGCATTATATCGATATTGGGCCTCATTTGTGGCCTGGTTCCCTGGTACAAGCAGTGGAGCGCAAGCGCTGCCTGCCCATTGAACCAGGCTGCGTTTGGGATCACCTCTCACCATAATAGGGGGACACGGGTGGCCCAGTCGTCTAAGGCGCCGGGATTCGCTGTGCAGAGTTGCGTCCCTGGGGCACACGTGATACCTATGATTGTGGGTTCGAATCCCGGTTCGCCCCGATTATGTTTCTAGGTTTGTCCGCACCATACCCGTGCTCGTGGGTTTCACCGAAGTGGTAAACGTCTGAGACCTGCATCACTTTGGGCTTTCCTTCCACATTAAGCTGTCACGCCGCGATATACCTGGAATACTGTTAAAAGCGGCGTTAAACCCAACTCACTCACTCACACTCAATTCAATGCAGGCAGAGGGGGGATAATACGCTTTAACGTACATCCTGCTCCTTTAGATGTTAAGCTTCAGCGTGCCCTAGAGGAACTGTCAAAGGATAAATGTTACGATTTCAATAAAAGGACCTCGTGGAATGCTATCTAGTGTTGTGTGCCTGGCTGTTGGTTGTATGTGCTGTGACGGCCGTGATCACGTTTGAATAGTGTTTCTTCTTGTAGGACGTGCGGGACCCCAACCTGGAACTGGCCAAAACGTTGGTAGAACGTTCACGACACGGTGGGGTGTCGCGGGAGGAGCTCCAATCGGCAATAGACGTCCACCTGTCCGAGTCACCAGCTGGGCCGCGGAGGGCGGTCAGCAGCGCCAAACCAGGAATCCAGGTGAGCTTTCTTCAGTTCCTAGTGCTGCTGGAATAGCAGGACAGCGCATCCACCCTGTGTCGTCATTGACACTTAGCAATATTGAGTCAACTGGGCTGTGCCTGCTTGTACAGTATTTCAGTTATATCGCGCTGTTTGGATAGCCCATAATAACTTATGACGTTACTATGGTGATACAATACCAGGGTTCATAATCGAGGCGGGGCGGTCGGGCAGCCTAGTGGTTAAAGCGTTCGCTCGTCACGCCAAAGACCCAGGTTCGATTCCCGACATGGGTACAATGTGTGAGCCCATTTCTGGTGTCCCCCGCCGTGATATTGCTGGAATATTGCTCAAAGCGGCGTAAAACCATACTCACTCACTCACTCATAATCGAGGCAAATCAGAGCTGAATTTGAGAAAGGTGTTCGAACTGATATGTACCAGGTATGGACGTTTAAGATTTTGGTGAAACCCACGTGCATGGATATGGTGTTTACAACCATGAATCATAACCAGGACTAATTTGGGATACGAAAGAACAAGTATCGGAGCCTGGTGCGGTTACGGGAGGTAACTCTTGACTTCGAAGTTCTGGCTCTTGGCCACCTGAAAGTCTCTCTGACATTGAGAGGTATAAGAATATATTAATTTTGTTATTTCTATCATGCGATAGAGGTCCTCCATTCGTCTGTGGCACCTGTCTTGAGGTACGATGGGATTGTAAGACTCAAAAGTATTTAATAGGTGGACAAACAAATATACAAGATGCTCATGTTTATTTCATGTAACAATTGAATTTTAAATATCATTTCAAATGTGTTATGTCATGGCGTCGTTGCTTCGATTGCCGTTATAGACGTTAAACTTGAAATCTTTCGTATTTTCCATTGTAAATTGCCCTTTGGTCACAGATCGGAGGTCATGTTGACCTCCACATGGACCTGACCAGTGAGCGGAGCAGCATGAGGTCATCTAGACCTTCCACCGTGAAGAGCCAGGCCAGTACAAGTCTCATACAGACTAAACTGGTAGAGGTGAGATTTATTGTATACTTCAGTGTGAAAGACTGAGTTTTTTGAAGTTGTGAGTGAGTGAATATGGTTTTACGCCGCTTTTAGCAATATTCCGGCAATATCACGGCGGGGGACACCAGAAATGAGCTTCACACATTGTTCCCATGTCGGGAATTGAACCTGGGTCTTCGGCGTGACGAGCGAACGCTTTAACCACTAGGCTACCCGACCGCGTGGCATGATCACGCGTTTGAACCCGGAAATAACAAAGACTGCCTTGCAATGTAGTGATACACCCCTCAGTAACGTGCCACTCAGTGATACATTTGAGACCCGTGAAGATCCGGGGTAGAATAGGTCTTCAGCAACCCATGCTAGCCGTAAGCGGCGACTATGCTTGTCGTAAGCGGCGACTAACGGGATCGGGTGGTCAGGCTCGCTGACCTGGTTGATGCTTGTCATCGATCCCAATTGCGTGGATCGGTGCTCATGGTGTCAATCACTGGATCGTCTGGTCCACACTTGATTATTTACAGACCGCCGTCACATACTGGAATATTGCTGAGTGCGGCGTTAAACAACAAACAAACAAACAAACAAACTTCGTGGAACGGGCTCTGGGCCTCACCAAAGTGGTTCCGCAAACAGACCTTGAGTTTACTGAAATGCTGTTCAAAGCGGCGTTACGCCCAACTGACTCACTATTCGATTCGACAGTGGCACATTTTGTTGATATGAAACATTTTTATTATTTTAAGACAACATTATTGAAATTCGGCTCTATCTCTATGTGTTCCCTTATATTTGTCCATGAGTATACGTTCTATCGATTGAAGCTTCGAGTCAATATGACACAAGGAAACTGCAATTTTAATAGCTCTAAGCTTAACAGGCATGTTTACTAGGCCATAAAAGATTATACAAGGTTTTAAGTGCTCTTCGTCGAGACTAAATCAATATTAAGACTTCATTTATAAACGATTTACTTTTCAACTACAGCCAAAAGCGTAACATCGACAAGTCCGTAAATTATGACTCCACCAAACACGTAGGCGTTTCTTAGGACAGAAATAATTTAGAAGTTGTGGTTCAATATTCATTCAGTTGTTAAACAGCGTACGTGTAGGTCGCATATAATTCGATTTCAATGCAAAATGACGTCCGAACTAGACAATAGAGTGAGTGAGTGAGTTTGGTTTAACGCCGCTTTTAACAGTATTCCAGTTATATCACGGCGTGTCAGCTTAATGTGGGAGGAAAGCCCGAAGTGATGCAGGTCTCAGACGTTTACCACTTCGGTGAAACCCAGGAGCACGGGTATGGTGCTGACAAACCTAGAAACATAATCGGGGCGAACCGGGATTCTAACCCACAATCATAGGTTTCTGGCGTGCCCCAGGGACGCAACTCTGCACAGCGAATCGCGGCGCCTTAGACGACTGACCACCCGTGCCCCCACTAGACAATAGAAGGCTTGAGTGAATGACACACAGTGCCGGGGTAAGACGGAGTTATTTCGAGATAGAATAGATCTTAAGTGTCTTGCCACACCGGCGCGGCTCTCTGTAGAGCGGGAGTTTATACGCATAAATCCCATTATCTGTTGCACAAAGGGTCGCTGCTCTGGTGGCTTATAGTGAACTTCGGCCCCTTGGCGTGAGGCTACCAACGTGGAATGTCACTGGACGCTGTCTGGCACGGCTTGTCCCGAAATACAGTTGACACTACTCGGCAATGCCCAATGCTATTAAAATGACACGAGTTGTCACGAATGATATATATGTATATATTGACGTAGCGGAATTACCCGATATGGTCCGAATGGGGGTGTTTCTGAGAAGGGCATTGCGGGTGAAGGTTGAAGGCACCTGTAGTTTGATATCGGACTTAATCGGTTAATTGTTAACCATTGCGGAAGTGATGACTGGAGAAAGCTATTATACTTGAATATAGTCTCGATAATGGGTAAATTTTAACATAGTCGCTCCAATGTGCTTTTGGTGGATATTGACACGTTGATGACATTCCAAATGATATCAAATCTGTGGTGATAGTCGTTGAAAGGTGAAGTGGAAGTCAAGTACAATCATGAACTCTTAAGCGTTGATCAAAGCAGGGATCAAAAGGGGCACGTGCATAGTTTGAAAACATTACCCTTTCTTAAAAAAAAAATGACAGCCATGATACAGTACTAATGTTGGAGAGGGGCGGTCGGGTAGCCTAATGGTTAAAGCGTTCGCTCGTCACGCGGAAGACCCGGGTTCGATTCCCGACATGGGTACAATGTGTGAAGCCCGTGATATTGCTGGAATATTGCTAAAAGCGGCGTAAAACCATACTCAATCACTCACTAATGTTGGAGAGTGCGGCGTTAAGCAACAATCACACTTTACAGAAATTTACAATCTGGAGTGAGTGAAAGAAATAATTTAGAAATTACTTCACGCTTAATCAGCTGTTTCGCGACTACAATTCTGAAACAGAAAAGTTTTTGTTGGTTGAAACAGTTGGCCATTTTCAGATCGATCTGTCGATGTCACAAACCCCTTTTTGTGCAATGAAATGAGGTGGTGAAATTGGGTTTGGCTGCTTGTACTAGTCCGGACTGATGCCGATTTATAGTGCTAGCACACTGAGATACCATGCCGCAGTTTAACATGAATACCCCACTCAGACACAGTATACTGACTCCGAGCCGTCCAGTCCTTGTTTAAGCCTCTTAATGCCGAGCGCCAGACAGGGTAACAACAAGTACCATCTTTTAACGTCTTTTGATATGACGCGGCCGGGGATCGAACCCCGGACCTTCCGCTCTCCGGGCGGACGCTCTACCACTAGACCACGGAGGCGGTTGCATGCAATGAATGAAAACACGTTCGTTTATACAGAATTTGAAAATAAAAGCCACAAACCACTTTATATAATCATACGAAATCTCTGCTAAAAGCTACTATGTCATATGCATGTGTTAATGAATCGCTATCAAATAGCGATGACATCAGGTGATCGCGAAAACGTGAGAGTATCCTGTCCCCACCGGTGGCACCCGTCACACACACATGCAAAGGCAAGGCTAGTGTTCACTGAACAAACACGATACATACGGTACAAGTCAAAATGGGGAATTGCATCCGACATAATTTTGAGTACTGATGCGTTACATTTGGAAATGGTCTGCACATATGTCTACGATAAAACGTTTTGAACACTTGGCCTACTATGGCCTTGGATGTCGTGGGACGCTGTTTGAAATTTTTGTATACAGCGTATGCTTCATTTTACCTAATACGTTAGATAAATATATACCCTATACGTTGGATAAATGTGTACCACAAGTTCTAATAAGCATTATTTGGAATTATGACATATCCAAACTGTGTGTGTACTGTGTCCAAACTGTTTCCATGATAAAATCTACATTAATGTACAGTAAACTACGGTTATAACGAACTCAAAGGGACCACAAATTTTAGTTCGTTATAACCGTAGCTCGTTATAAGCATATATACAGCAAATGGGCGGGACCAAAAAACATTTCGTTATATCCGGCAGTTCGGTATAAGCGTGTTCGTTACAAACGTAGTTTACTGTAAATTCAATGGACAGATACCATCGTTTCACCTCCCCCACCATATAAGAGGGAAGGTTTAATAATCCTGTTAAATAAATAGAGGTAGCATGTGTCCAGTAACGTGGAGCTCTGGTTGTTGGGGGTGACTGGGTACTGACGAGGTATCTGTGTCACGGAGTTCGGGAGGGTGGGATCCCCCCAGTCAGACAGACATTGAATTATAGCCAGGTCTAAGCGGGGGGTCGGGGGAACGATCACACACTTTCCCACACGGTTATTCGGTTTTAAGTAGATTTTAGTCCACAGCACACTCGTGATTAATCCTCCGTTATGCGAGCGAGATTTTGGGACTCTACCACAGAGAAACGTTCTGCTCCAGTCACGGGGATATACAGGTAAACCGCGCCCAACCGTAACGACTCTATTGTTTAGTGTGTGTAGTGATATGTTTCGCATAAGTCCATATACGCTGGTGTGGGTGGACATGCAGGTAACGGTTTCTCTATAACCCCATTCTGTGTGATCTGAGGGGGGACCAGTTTGATTCATTCTGCTGCTTCCCGTTAAGCATGCAGTGCACGTACGTCTGACACAGTGGTTTGTAGAATGCATACGGGACGTTTGTATTGTCTGGTAGGTGTGTGTTGTCTTGGATGTTAAATGGTGACATTGATGGATATTTGTTGTATCATGAGACGTAAACGGGACATAATATACTTACATTATCTCACCCAGGCAATGGATTTCCTTTTGCATGTCATGTAAATAATATGTATGTGGTCGTTCGCGGTATGTGCCCGCTTGATTTAGTATCACATGTACTTTATAAATATCTGTCATCAGGTTATGTTGAGGCGAGAGTTGACGTGCATTGTGTATCGGCATTCAACGTCATGTGTTTGTACATTAATATTCTGGTTTGACTATAGACGTAGATCAGGTATAGCTCTTACGGCTTTGTTGAGGCGGGGGAAGTGTTCGGAAGTTCACCTTAAGGTTAGGTAATGAAAACCAACGTGTGGATGTTCATGGATTCGGGTATCAAGGCGAGTGAGTTATTGGTGGGGTATGTGCACGTGGTAGATATGGGAGATTCGCTTGCTGGATGAGTGTTTCGGAGAAGCGGCTGTTGTTTGAGGTGTATACAGTGGCTGTTGTTGTTGGGGGTTGTTAAGTTGTTGTTTTGTTGTTGGAGGTTTTATGGTTGTTGTTTGTGTCCAGATGGACGTCAAGCAGAGGCTGCGACCCGACAGCGGCGTTGTCGTGACGTCGTCGTCGTCAGGTAGCTACTCCAGTTCGGAGAGGAGCAGAGACAACGACGTGGACACAGCGTCCCTGGACTCCTCCTGGATTTCAGCCTCGCTACAGTTGCTGGACGGGATCCTCAGGGTAAGACGGGTGGAGGGTGGATGTGGGGGGTGAAAGGGTCGTGGGTGGATGTGGTGAGGTGGAGGGTGGATGTGGTGGTAGGAGGTAGTTGGGGGAGGTCATGGTTGGATGTGGTGGTAGGAGGTAGTTGGGGGAGGTGGAGGGTGGATGTGGTGGTAGGAGGTAGTTGGGGGAGGTGGAGGGTGGATGTGGTAGTAGGGGGTAGTTGGGGGAGGTGGAGGTTGGATGTGGTGGTAGGAGGTAGTTGGGGGAGGTGGAGGGTGGATGTGGTGGTAGGGGGTAGTTGGGGGAGGTGTTGGTTGGATGTGGTGGTAGGAGGTAGTTGGGGGAGGTGGATGTGGTGGTAGGGGGTAGTTGGGGGAGGTGGAGGGTGGATGTGGTGGTAGGGGGTAGTTGGGGGAGGTGGAGGGTGGGTGTGGTGGTAGGGGGTAGTTGGGGGAGGTGGAGGGTGGATGTGGTGGTAGGAGGTAGTTGGGGAGGTGGAGGGTGGATGTGGTGGTAGGGGGTAGTTGGGGGAGGTGGATGTGGTGGTAGGAGGTAGTTGGGGAGGTGTTGGTTGGATGTGGTGGTAGGGGGTAGTTGGGGGAGGTGGATGTGGTGGTAGGGGGTAGTTGGGGGAGGTGGAGGGTGGATGTGGTGGTAGGAGGTAGTTGGGGGAGGTGGATGTGGTGGTAGGGGGTAGTTGGGGGAGGTGGAGGGTGGATGTGGTGGTAGGGGGTAGTTGGGGGAGGTGGAGGGTGGATGTGGTGGTAGGAGGTAGTTGGGGGAGGTGGAGGGTGGATGTGGTGGTAGGAGGTAGTTGGTGGAGGGTGGATGTGGTGGTAGGAGGTAGTTGGGGGAGGTGTTGGGTGGATGTGGTGGTAGGAGGTTGTTGGGGGAGTCGGAGGGTGGATGTGGTGGTAGGAGGTAGTTTGGGGAGGTGGAGGGTGGATGTGGTGGTAGGAGGTAGTTGGGGAGGTGGAGGGTGGATGTGGTGGTAGGAGGTAGTTTGGGGAGGTGGAGGGTGGATGTGGTGGTAGGAGGTAGTTGGGGGAGGTGGAGGGTGGATGTGGTGGTAGGAGGTAGTTGGGGGAGGTGGAGGGTGGATGTGGTAGTAGGGGGTAGTTGGGGGAGGTGGAGGGTGGATGTGGTGGTAGGAGGTAGTTGGGGGAGGTGGAGGGTGGATGTGGTGGTAGGGGGTAGTTGGGGGAGGTGGAGGGTGGATGTGGTGGTAGGAGGTTGTGGGGGAGGTGGAGGGTGGATGTGGTGGTAGGAGGTAGTTGGGGGAGGTGGAGGGTGGATGTGGTGGTAGGAGGTAGTTGGTGGAGGTGGAGGTGGATGTGGTGGTAGGAGGTAGTCGGGGGAGGTAGAGGGTGGATGTGGTGGTAGGAGGTAGTTGGTGGAGGTGGAGGTGGATGTGGTGGTAGGAGGTAGTCGGGGGAGGTAGAGGGTGGATGTGGTGGTAGGAGGTAGTTGGTGGAGGTGGAGGTGGATGTGGTGGTAGGAGGTAGTTGGGGGAGGTCGAGGGTGGATGTGGTGGTAGGAGGTAGTTGGGGGAGGTGGAGGGTGGATGTGGTGGTAGGAGGTAGTTGGGGGAGGTGGAGGGTGGATGTGGTGGTAGGAGGTAGTTGGGGGAGGTGGAGGGTGGATGTGGTGGTAGGAGGTAGTTGGGGAGGTGGAGGGTGGATGTGGTAGTAGGGGGTAGTTGGGGGAGGTGGAGGGTGGATGTGGTGGTAGGAGGTAGTTGGGGGAGGTGGATGTGGTGGTAGGAGGTAGTTGGGGAGGTGGAGGGTGGATGTGGTAGTAGGGGGTAGTTGGGGGAGGTGGAGGGTGGATGTGGTGGTAGGAGGTAGTTGGGGGAGGTGGAGGGTGGATGTGGTGGTAGGGGGTAGTTGGGGGAGGTGGAGGGTGGATGTGGTGGTAGGAGGTTGTGGGGGAGGTGGAGGGTGGATGTGGTGGTAGGAGGTAGTTGGGGGAGGTGGAGGGTGGATGTGGTGGTAGGAGGTAGTTGGGGGAGGTGGAGGGTGGATGTGGTGGTAGGAGGTAGTTGGGGGAGGTGGAGGGTGGATGTGGTGGTAGGAGGTAGTTGGGGAGGTGGAGGGTGGATGTGGTAGTAGGGGGTAGTTGGGGGAGGTGGAGGGTGGATGTGGTGGTAGGAGGTAGTTGGGGGAGGTGGAGGGTGGATGTGGTGGTAGGGGGTAGTTGGGGGAGGTGGAGGGTGGATGTGGTGGTAGGAGGTTGTGGGGGAGGTGGAGGGTGGATGTGGTGGTAGGAGGTAGTTGGGGGAGGTGGAGGGTGGATGTGGTGGTAGGAGGTAGTTGGGGGAGGTGGAGGGTGGATGTGGTGGTAGGAGGTAGTTGGGGGTGGTGGAGGGTGGATGTGGTGGTAGGAGGTAGTCGGGGGAGGTGGATGTGGTGGTAGGAGGTAGTTGGGGGAGGTGGAGGGTGGATGTGGTGGTAGGAGGTAGTTGGGGGAGGTGGATGTGGTGGTAGGAGGTAGTTGGGGAGGTGGAGGGTGGATGTGGTAGTAGGGGGTAGTTGGGGGAGGTGGAGGGTGGATGTGGTGGTAGGAGGTAGTTGGGGGAGGTGGAGGGTGGATGTGGTGGTAGGGGGTAGTTGGGGGAGGTGGAGGGTGGATGTGGTGGTAGGAGGTTGTGGGGGAGGTGGAGGGTGGATGTGGTGGTAGGAGGTAGTTGGGGGAGGTGGAGGGTGGATGTGGTGGTAGGAGGTAGTTGGGGGTGGTGGAGGGTGGATGTGGTGGTAGGAGGTAGTCGGGGGAGGTGGATGTGGTGGTAGGAGGTAGTTGGGGGAGGTGGAGGGTGGATGTGGTGGTAGGAGGTAGTTGGTGGAGGTGGAGGTGGATGTGGTGGTAGGAGGTAGTCGGGGGAGGTGGATGTGGTGGTAGGAGGTAGTTGGGGGAGATGGAGGGTGGATGTGGTGGTAGGGGGTTGTTGGGGGAGGTGGAGGGTGGATGTGGTGGTAGGGGGTAGTTGGGGGAGGTGGAGGGTGGATGTGGTGGTAGGGGGTTGTTGGGGGAGGTGGAGGGTGGATGTGGTGGTAGGGGGTTGTTGGGGGAGGTGGAGGGTGGATGTGGTGGTAGGAGGTAGTTGGGGGAGGTGGAGGGTGGATGTGGTGGTAGGAGGTAGTTGGTGGAGGGTGGATGTGGTGGTAGGGGGTAGTTGGGGGAGGTGGAGGGTGGATGTGGTGGTAGGAGGTAGTTGCGGGAGGTGGAGGGTGGATGTGGTGGTAGGGGGTAGTTGGGGGAGGTGGAGGGTGGATGTGGTGGTAGGAGGAGTCGTTGGTGGTGGGTGGGTGTGATGGCATGGGGATGAGTGGGGAAGTCGAGGGTGGAGGGTGGATGTGGTGGCATAGTTGGGTGAGTGGGGAAGTCGAGGGTCGAGGGTGGGACGGTGAATGGAGGGGGGGTAGATGTGATGTCCCAGGTGTAGTTTTTGGGTACTGGGTGTAGGGTGTAGGGTGTCCGGATGTGGAGGCCGAGAACGTGTGAGTGTCAGGGTCTACGATATGGTGGCGTAGAGTGTATTTCGGGTGTTATAGTTTCGTGGGACGTGTGAACGTGCGTGTGTGCGTGTTGGGCGTGGGCGTGCTTTTGTGTATACAGTGTAGGGACCAGATTGCCTGGGCGTTGAATGTGTGGGGTGTATGGATATATGAATGAAACATACAGAGAAACATAAAAGATGAGTGGTGGCGAATGCACGTTCGATCATAGGTTCCCTGTTTAGTGTTCAAAGGATGCTTGAATGCATCTGAGAAGGTACAGAAGAAATGGGACCCTTCTAGCCAACACGTCATGTGATGGATCTGGCCACATCCATACCAGCTTCTCGAGGCAAGGGAGTTAACTGACTAAAAACGCCCAGTTCCAACGTGGAAACTGAACTTTAACATTCCGTTAACGCCCTTGCCGCGGGAAAATGTACCGTTACACGAAACAAATCTCCAACAGCTCCCCGTCTGTTTCAGGTGCGTACCGAGCAGCACGACTCTCTGAAGAGTCTCGTGGCGGCCATAACACGTGACTGTGAGACCCCCCACACGAAGGCCCACGCCCTCTACCGGTGGCTAGCCAGCCAGAGTCTGGAGTACTACAGCAAGGCGTCACACAAGCCCAACTCCCCAACGGGGAAGATGAAACAGTTGGCTGAGAAGAAGATCACATACGCCAGCCTCTACCAAGAGATGATAAGGTCAGTATGTGATGAAACGTCAGTGAACATCCGTGTTTCACAGAACTAACCACGAGGGCGCAGCGTAAGGTGTCTAAACAACCCAGGTTTCATTCTCCATGCGACACGTGAAGATCTGGGGTAGAATAGGTCTTCAGCAACCCATGCTTGCCGTAAAAGGCGACAGTGCTTGTCGTAAGGGGCGCTAACGGGATCGGGTGGTCAGGCTCGCTGACTTGGTTATTGCATGCCATCGTATCCCAATTGCGTGGACCGATGCTCATGATGTCATTCACTGGATTGTCTGGTCCAGACTCGATTATTTACAGGCCGCATTCATATAGCTGGAATATTGCTGAGTGCGGCGTTAAACAACAAACAAACAAATCATTGTGACATAAGTGTTCATACAATGGAATACAGGCAATTTCTAATCAAGTGTGTTTCTAGCTCATTACTGTAAACATCAACATACAAGGATATAAACTGCGTGTGTTTTTCAGTTTTAACAGTTGGGTATTAGTGCCAGTTGGGTCAGTTTGGCCTAAGCTCTGAGTCCTGACCCAACCAGCACGAATGTAAAAAAATATCATTTAATACATTGGAATCACTTTGATGTGTGAGGTAAAGTTCATAGGAAAGCTATCCATCTTTACCATGAAACTAAATCACTACGTATGTTGTAGGGGGCACTGGTGGCCCAGTCGTCTAAGGCGGCGCGATTCGCTGTTCAGAGTTGCGTCCCTTGGGCACGCCAGAAACCTATGATTGTGGGTTCGAATCTCGGTTCACCCCGATTATGTTTCTAGGTTTGTCAGCACCATACCCGTGCTCGTGGGTTTCAACGAAGTGGTAAACGTTTACTGACATGCCGCGATATAACTGTAATACTGTTAAAAGCGACATTAAACCCAACTCACTCACTCACATATGTTGTAGTGCATGCTCTGCGTCCATTGTAACATCCCTTAGACGTGCAAGAAACGTAAAGATGTGGGTTCGAATCCCATTTTCCCTGATAATGCTTCTTGGTTGGTGTAAGGCACCGTAAAGCGCTCTTCAGAGGTGCGTTCCTAACACGTACCAGAAACATATAATCGTGGGTTCTAATCCCGGTAGGCCTGATTACATTTCTAGGTTTGTCACCACCACACCCGTGCTCATGGGTTTCACCAACGTGGTAAACGACCTGTATCAATTCCGGCCACCCTCCCACATCAAGCTGATACGCAGTGATATAGCCGAATCATGTTGTCTTAATGTGCGGTGCCTTTGGCCTATATATATAAAGTTTAAAGTGTAAAACATATTGTTGCATGCTCAAGCTGAGACCCAATCTCAGAATCCCGATTCCGGGGTAGAATAGGTCTTCAGCAACCCATGCTTGCCGTAAAAGGTGACTATGGTTGTCGTAAAAGGCGAGTAACGGGATCGGGTGGTCAGGCTCGCTGACTTGGTTGATGCATGTCATCGTATCCCAATTGCGTGGATCAATCTCCATGATGTCAATCACTGGATTGTCTGGTCCAGACTCGATTATTTACAGACCGCCGTCATATAACTGGAATATTGCTGAGTGCGGCGTTAAACAACAAAGCAACCAACCAACCAACCAACTCAGAATCCGATTTAATGCAAACAAATAAGCGTATACAATAAATAAATTCAAAGTAAATAAACCAAATGAATGAAAGCAATTAGGCTGTATATACGTTACATTCAAGATGAAATGCGCCTTTTGTTTGAATATGGTACCCGATATTGATCAATCGTACTGCTATATCTGACCATGGCCCGTGACATTACACATTGACCACATTGTTTACCTTCCAGGTGTGTCGGCCTGAAGTGCGAGCTGGTGGAGGGCGTGGCCAAGCACAGAGACTACCTGCCCGGCGACCCCGTCACAGTCGAAGCTTGCCGACACGTGTGGAACGCCGTACTCCTTGACGGTCAATACCGGCTAATGGATGTCCAGTTTGGGGCTCAGCCTTTTAAATATTTTGTGGAACATTTTTTCCTGGCACCACCCGATGAATTCAAATTGTCCCATCTCCCAAACAACCGCAAATGGTCCCAAATGTCACAGACTACGACCATCGAGGATTTTGAGGGAACGCTTAAGACGTGGCCTGCAATGTTTGCGTTTAACATTCGCCCATTGAGCATGAAAGCGGTCATGCGGACCTATGATGGGAAGTTGAGTGTGACGGTGCTGCTGCAGAACGTGGCTGTGACGCCAACGCTGCAGTACCTGGGTCCAGGTCCGGCCCAGGATTCAGAATCGTTGTTGTATTATATTGACCAAGAGATCCGATCTGTGGACAACGCGGAGACGTTCCATCTGAACCTCCCAAAGGAGGGGACCTACTACTTCACCCTCCTGGTGCATGACGTGGAGGAGGATGCCGACATTCCAGCCTTACAGTACAGGATCGATTACACTGATGAACTATTATAGGCTAATTGGCTGTGATACGAAAAAGCATCTTGAAGTCTCCATGTATTCACTGTGGTCTGGATTAGGCCTACGTCGTTCCGAAAGACTACATTGACGGAAGGGATGACGTAATATGACTGAAGCATCCTGGAGAGATTCGTGTTCCTTTGAAAACAACTGGTCCAGTTCAAGTCGGAATGATGGGGTATGATGAGGCTGCTGTCCATGAGACCACAAGGTGTGGGCGGAATAACTTGCTTCTGAAGTTGGCTCCAACACGTTTTGGTGTTCAGGAAGACGAATGATCACTGAAACATACTGGAATGACTCGTGTTTCTTCGAAAACCGTTGGTCAGTTCAAGCCAGGATTGTTAATGATGTGGATGGTAGACGCGATACTTTAAATATGTTGGAGGAATAACTTTCCGCTGATCCGTTAGCTGTGAATGGCTACTGCAGAACAGTGCTGCTAGGTGTATCAGATCAAATTAATCTGTATGACCAATGTGCCCGATTTTTATTGGATTCTGTGTGTAGGTGTGAGTGTTTGTGAGAATGAGTGTTTGTGGGATACGCGCCAGTGAGAGAATATGGTCCAAGCCCCGTGTTACGACCAAGGTTGTGTTGTTCGCACGAGGTGTTTCGACCGTGCCAGTCAGCTTGTGTGCTGTGTTCACATAAATGTTTATGTGTTTGCACAAAAACGAACCGTTATCATACAAATTAATTGTGACGACTGGTTCATAATTTGAAAGACTTTTCTAAGGCAGATTAATGGTCTTTGACTGTGTTACATACGTTTAGGTCTGTTATGATTTGATTTCAATGTGTTTTCATTTGACTCAAAACTGTCAAATTATTAATTCAATGAAACGTCAGTAAAATCCGACGGAAATTTGCAAATCGTTAAAAACAAGAAAAACATGTTTACTGTAACTCTGGTATTTGCAGTACTGACATTATAATCAAAATGTATTGTTTGTTGTAGGGCTCCAAGTAGTGACTCGTGTTATATACGCATTGATGAATGCTCATGAACACGCCCGATTTTATGTCCCGCAGTTCATAACGTCTGTCATGTTCAGTCAAAGGAATTCATGTAGATACAATTGGTCAGGCTCGCTGACTTGTTTGATGCATGGCATTGTATCCCAATGGCGCGAATCTATGTTCATGATGTCAATCACTGGATTGTATGGTCCAGACTCGATTATTTACAGACCGCCGTCATATAGCTGGAATATTGCTGAGAGCGGCGTTAAACAACAGACCAAACAAAATGGAGATAAAAGAGATTTCCATCATGTTAAGAAAAACTTCTAAAAGCCGAGACCACTATATGATTCCCACTACACCATAAGCAAGTGTTTATGAGCCACTGTCAATGACACTTGTGTTACATCAGTTTTAGCCGATGCGACGTTAAATTTTAGCTCACCACATTAGTTTTAAATTCGCCATGAAGTCGCAGACGCCACAGCGTCGAATATTATGCTGGTGTTTTTTTACTAAAAAACATTTACTTTCGAGGACTAGTGGTTAAAAATATAGATCTGCCTCTTGCTATTTAAAAGCACTTTGGCCGTTAATGCATCCGTTGTATTATAAATAAGTTTAACTGTTTTCGCTGTAAGTGACTTCGTTATTTCCTACATTTAAATAAATGTGACTAAGACGCCGCAACTCGCTCTGCAGAGTGATGTTGCTGAAGCGTGCCGGATCGTTGGTTCGAATCCCATATTCGCCGTGATTTTTTCTAGGTCTGTCAGTACCATACCCATTCTCGTTGGCATCTCCGAATTGGTAAACGTCTGAGACCGGCACCACTTAGGGCTTTCCTCCCACATCAAGCTGACACGCCGTGATATAACTGGAATACTGTTCAAAGCGCGTTCAACCGAACTCACGCACCAACCCTTTTGTGATTATTTCTGATAAAAAGGCATGGTTCTTTTCGCGATTCCGGTGATTTTTTACAGTTTCACAAGACAGTGTCAGTCGAGTGTATTAAAGTTGCATGTCCCGTGTCTCAATATTGCGAACCACACAAATGATAAAGGCGACACTTTATCTCGAGTATCACATTTCCAATGTGTTAATCGTTGTTTCTTAGACAAAAGTCCATTCAACGTGTTTGTTGTTTATATAATCTATGAAAATTGTACTATTTTTTATGACTGATTTCCAGTGTGTAACAAAGATTCCGTCCAAAGTTATTTATATATTTAATTGTTCATGTTTGTGATTTGTTTATTTATTACATTGTGACATGGCTCCGAGAAGTCCGTACAACATACCGTCCAGTTTCAAGAAGTATGCGCCATGTCAGTCTTCATTGTTCTTGAATTATCACATTCGTGGCAAACCTCAGGGTATTGCGCCAAAACGCAACAGAGTAACCTTACCAGCCATTCTGTTCATTGACCAAAGTCACTTTAATACCAAACATATAAGATTATTTATATATTTTTATCCATTAAAGTTACCTATATGAAAAATATGTTAAAATTGTAGACTTTCTCCATTGAACTTATCGTTTCTATGTGTGATAAAATATGCATTTCCGTTGATGTTTAAACTTTTATTTAGCTAAACGCCACAACAAATTAATTATTTGTTCTTTGTGATTTTGGGGACCAAATGAATTACTATGTTTGAAATGGAGAAAAGTTTCCATAACCCTTCTCTTGGTTTATGAAGACAATTCATATTTGTTCCATTGAACAACGTCCATGCCCCTAGTATTTCTTCCACTCTCACAATTGGTTGGCGATCATATTTCGCTTAAGGGGCAAATGTTTCTTATGATCAACCCCCTAACCCAAACCTTCACTGACCTACCACCTCATTTTGCAATCTCATTAAAATCAGACCTTAGTTCTCGCTACCGCTAAACAAAGATCTGAAGACATCCTATTAGGGGTCACGTCAGAACGACCTTTCATCCGACCAATCAGTGCGTCGCTTACCAGATTATGAAAGTGACAGTCGGAATGTGATTTCTAATCATGCAATCTCGAAAACTTTAACATGGGATATTCCGAACGGTAATTACGGGTTTAACGACTGAATCCTTACAATCTAGACCACATGTTAAAATATGTTTCGAAGCGTAGTCGCCAATTTGAAATTTGTGCCGTAAAGCACTAGAAAGCTGCCTTCTGATTGGTCATTCCATTGGTCGGTCTGACGTGACCCGTAATGGGATGTCCTCAGATCTTTGTTTAGAGGTAGCGAGAACTAAGATCTGATTTTAATGAGATTGCCTCATTACGCAGAACCAAAGACGTGGCAGTTCCTCAATTATCCAGTGTGTCATATGCCCATGTTGTTATGAAAAATATCATGTACCATTCGTTTTCACAGCTACGATACATATGCATGATACAAAAAAAGCCGTCCAATCATATTACTCACGAGTGAGCGAACTTTTGTAGTGGTTGAAGGAGCGATGGTGGTGCTGACGTCACTTCCGAAACGAAGTGAGTGAGTGAATATGGTTTTACGCCGCTTTTAGCAATATTCCAGCAATATCACGGCGGGGGACACCAGAAATGGGCTTCACTCATTGTACCCATGTCGGGAATCGAACCCGGGTCTTTGGCGTGACGAGCGAACGCTTTTTACCACAAGGCTACCCGACCGCCCTCCGAAACGAAGCTATGGTAGCGGTAGAATCTATTTATTACAATGGAGATTAAGTACACTGAAAATCTGAAACTTTCTGACAAACACATGATCAGTTCATTGTGGCCGTGCGGTGTAAATAGTGTTGCACCCTATGAATAGTCGTGATCCAAAATAAGATCTTAGCCCTATGCTTGAGGAGGTTTATACATGGGGTGAAACTACAAGCTTAGTGCTAAGGTCACTTTGTAGAAAAGGTCTCTTTGACATTCTCGAGGTGTTTTGATAATACCGACACGAACAAATGCCATCAAAACCTAAAACTCGTGAGGATTGAATTAATTGGATTAACTTAAAGATGACAAAGTATAGAAAATAGGGATTATATAATCAAATAATTCAGTAACTTGAATCAAAAATAAATATGTGAACACGCTTACATAAGTGAAGGTAGCTACAAATATAGACTTGTATGTATCAGACTGTGATACCTTAAGATGAAAGAGTGGGTGGGAGTGTTATTCTGAGAGTAAAACTGTTTACAGGTAATCAATCCGAGAGATTCATCTTGTTAACGCTTGATATACTAACTCAGACAGTTCATGTCTATGTCAACAATGTTTTTTTTTACTTGGCAAATCTTTTGAATAATATTGAACATTTATATATTTACCGTATTTCCCCAAATAGACACCGCCGATTGTTTACTGTCCGTAAGCAGCCCAGCGTGCATTAGAGACCCGATCTCATTCGTTTTTTACCCGGCGTCTATTTTGGCGGCAAGGCGTCTATTTGAGTAAATACGGTAAACCATTTGTATGTGGTTACACTGCTTGAATTCTTCTACCGTTTTGTCTCTGACATGCGCAGAGAACTATCTATTCCTTGCCAAAATTGGAAAGTTTTCGACCTTCACCTTCTTTGTCTGAGTGGCAGCCCTGCACGTTCTTTGTTATAATTTATTGGTGAGTGTGAGTTACTGTTATACATTTCGTCCAGTGTTTTGTTCAGAGCACACATATAATAAAAACATTGAACACTGTGTGTATTGTTCCTTTTTGAATAATCAACATTTCAGCTGGGCTACACAAGCCATCAGAGTGAGTGAATGAGTGAGTATGGTTTTACGCCGCTTTTAGCATTATTCCAGCAATATCACGGCGGGGGACAGCAGAAATGGGCTTCACACATTGTACCCATGTCGGGAATCGAACCCGGGTCTTCGGCGTGACGAGCGAACACTTTTACCACTAGGCTACCCAACCGCCCCCACAAGCCATCAGATACTACCCGGGGACAACTGAATACATCGGAATCTCGTTAGCCCGGAAACTTTCCATTTCAGTTGTTGTTTGTTTTACGCCGCACTCAGCAATATTCCAGCTATATGACGGCGGTCTGTAAATAAGTCCGGACCAGACAATCCAGTGATTGACATCATGGAGATTGATCCACGCAATTGGGATACGATGATATGCATCAACCAAGTCAGCGAGCCTGTCCACCAGATCCTGTTAGTAGCCTCTTACGACAAGCATAGTCGCCTTTTACGACAAGCATCCAATTTAAGTACAACAGGTGATATATACATATATGGGGTGATGTACCTTGTATGTGAGCCTATGTACCCCGAGCTGCTGGGGGTACATAGGCTCATACACAGTGTACATCACACGCTTTGACTCGCGCATTTTGACAGTCAGCTGACGAGGCAAACGAACCGAGTTACTTCCCTTTACCCAATGCATTCGAATAAACATCGGTTCATTTCAGCTCAACGATTCTTATTCGTGATAAGCACGTTGCTTAAAGTGTGTTGCGATTGATTTCTCAGGGGGCTACATGACCGCTCTTTAACCATTCAGAAGCTAGTATTTTAATGTAAGGCGAGATAAACACAGTTATTGTATTCCGTTAAAATATTTAACACTTGTAAGATAGTGAACACTCGAGCATCAACCAGTAATTATGGAACAATGCTGACTCATTGTTCGCTGATTGCAGCGAGGTTAGGAACTTGTGTTAATATCTAGACAGGAATAAGTAATGATGAAAAATGATATAATTACTGTCGAGCTGTCACTAGCGTAAAACAAAGAACATGATATAGAATCTACAATTATGCGACAATGACAAACAGGCAGTTTTTTCATGTAATACGGTGGCTATGGGTTCAACCTACAAACACTCACTCATTCACTCACTCACTCACCCACTCACTCACTCACATACATTTGTATTTTTCATATCTCCGAAAAATATGGATCAATATCTGATTCGTGGCCGTAAATTTGCAGGTAATAATCAGTGATCATGTGACAGTTTTAGTTAAAAATTAATATAAATATTAACCAAATTCAACACGGTTTTCTGGTATGATAAACTCATTACATATGAAATCATACGTTACAAATGAGTAGCAGGGTTGGAATGTACGCCCTATTTCTTCCAAAAGCTTCGTTTGGGAAGAAATGTCCATTTATTTCAATAACTTTCTACACAATATCTCTTGCACATTAGTGCAAAGTAGGTAGACGTTTTATAGCGTGGTGTGTATTTGATCGGGCTAAAAACGAAGCTACAGAGGCGAATAGGACCTGAGTATTTACCACAACAGAATGGAAATATGACACACCTAATCTAGGATGAACCAAATTCTTATTTAGTAAAGTTTCACATTCTTTTATATTTTCTCCGCATAACAACATCATTGTCTATAATGATTCCTATCGATATATTGCGATACATTGCCATTTCGATGAATTATTAAAACCCTCGTCAAGTGAGTGAGTGAGTATGGTTTTACGCCGCTTTTAGTAATATTCCAACAATATCAAAACGGGGGACACCAGAAATGGGCTTCACACATTGTACGCATGTGGGGAATCGAACCCGGATCTTCGACATGACGAGCGAACGCTTTAACCACTAGGCTACCCCGCCGCCCCAAAACTCTTCAAAACTACATAATGCTTAGTGTGAAACATTTATTAACTGGAACATATCCCTAGATCTCTCTGTACATGTACTTGTTAACAAATGAACAAAGACGCGAGGGATCTCATAGTGTAGAGGAAGCCATCGAAGCCACCCAAAGGCAGGAAGACCGGGCGTGACACGTGGGATCAAACAGCTCCTGGAAAGCACGGTCGATGTCTACCTTTAAAACACAACATTAAATCAACAGATATTCATCTATTGTGAGTAGGTCTTCCGACTCAGGAGTACAATGTACGGTACATATCCAATAAAAACTGGACAATCATCTGGCGCTAACTCGATGTCCCCCATATAGCAGTACCCCTCATCATCAACCTTGATGTTGGGCAATCCAAACTTGTCCTTCCAGAGGCGGTCGTACTCTCGAGCCCCTAAACGCCTGCGACAAGAGTCCATCACAAACACCATGTCACCTTCTATCACGCAGTCTCCGTTTGGGTATAACACCACTTGTTGGCGAGGTCGTGCATTGAGAACGTAGTCGTCGAAGAGGCGGTCGTAGTCACTGTGTAGGATCCAGCGACAGTCAAGCTCCCAGAGGTCCTGTCCTAATATGGTACAGTCGCCATTAGAGTTGAAGGTCACCTCGTTTCTCAAAGAGTAGTCGTCTTTGAAGGAGCGGTCTGGACGGCTGCGCACTGTTTGACATATAATATCAGATTTAATTGGATTTGTAACAAGGAACAAGTCGGAACTGGGGACAGGGTTATTTTCTCTTCCCCAAGCAAGAAACTGGCCGAATTCACAAAGCGATCGTAACTCTTGCCTCAAGAAATATGTGCGACTGCCGTATGGTTACGTACAATCGACTTGTGGAACGTGGCCAAGGCTTTGCTCGTCAAAGAGAATGTTTTTGGTTCACATTGAGAGATTTATCTATATCAGTAAGTAAAAACATTTGCCTAGATACCGTAAAGATAGGTCTTCAGCAACCCATGCTTGTCGTAAAAGGCGACTATACTTGTCGTAAGAGGAGACTTACGGGATCGGGTGGTCAGGCTCACTGACTTGGTTGATGCATGTCATCGTATCCCATTTGCGTGGATCGATGTTCCTAATGTCAATCACTGGATTGTCTGGTCCAGACACGATTATTTACAGACCGCCGTCATATAGCTCGAATATTGCTGAGTGCGGCGTTAAACAACAAACAAACTTTGAGGAACGGTTCCGCAAACAGGCCTTGAGTTTACTGAAATGCTGTTCAAAGCGGTGTTAGGCCCAACTGACTCACTAGATCCGCATAATGATTTCGATTCGAAGTGAAGGCGGACACGACAAATGAAACATATCACACAACTGGCGTTCTGTATCACCATAATTCTTATTTGTTTTAAATTTTATGTGTTTCAATTGTTTATTTGTCTACTGCACATTTCATGTCAGTGAATAAAATCTCAATCATGTATTGCTGTTATCGAGTTTTGCGTTCCGATATCTTATCTACGGTTCCTTCTCGAAATAGTGTATGGTGTTACAGGCACCATATATATAGTGTCTTGTGAGGCGTATAGCATTGTTAAAGAGATACATCATATCATCTGTAGCTATAGCAACGGATCATTATGATAAAGCAGGAATTATTCTGTATGCATGTGGTGGCCATCGCCTGGTGTAGATGTAAGGGTGACATAATTCGACATCAGATTAACTCTGTATGGTCTAAAGAGAAATATTAAACCTGTTCCTATATCAACAGTCACCCTGATTTATCGGAACGCTTTCGTCCTTTGTATAACGCAATTTAAAAGAAGAATTAACTCACCTTGCTTGGGCACCGTGGCTGCCCCAGCCATCACACTCATGGTCTGGCGATAGCAAGCGAAATACAAAGTTGAAACGAAACAAAACAACATCATATAAACATATAGAAAATGCAAAAGAAAGCATTCACCATTTTTGATCGTGGCTAAAATGAACCAAGAACATGAACAAATATCAGAAACGGTTATTCGAAGGTGATGTATTTGCAGCCTGGTTCCCTGGGTATGCTGCGCTGGCGCTACTGTGTAGTGCTGCTGTGTAGTGCTGTTGTGTAGTGCTGCTGTGTAGTGCTGCTGTGTCGTGCTGTTGTGTAGTGCTACTGTGTCGTGCTGCTGTATAGTGCTGTTGTGTAGTGCTGCTGTGTAGTGCTGTTGTGTAGTGCTACTGTGTCGTGCTGATGTGTCGTGCTGCTGTGTAGTGCTGCTGTGTAGTGCCAGCGAAGCATACCCAGGGAACCAAGCTGATGTATTTGATACAGGTCGCATTGGCGACATTACACGTATCATATCAATGAATATCTCACAACATGGTGACGTGCATATAACGTCTCAAGGAACATGATGGTCGCAATTTCACAGTACACGGTAATGAGTGAAGTGCATACTTTCCTTTGACCCCAGTTTAACGGGTTGAAAATAGAACGTGAAATGTCTGAGAGAGAAGGCTTAATCACTTCCATACTTGTAACAGCCGAGTAAAATGTGGACCTTTTTCTTTTTCAATATTCTTTTTAATCTGTGACCAGGCTGATTGCATTTCCTCTTGCCAAAATGGCGTGGAACGTTGCTCATGCTTACAATCAATGGTTTATCTGGTCCTGAGTCGGTGCCGGGGTATAGCTGAAATAACAGCGGCGTTTAACAAAATTCATTTACTCACTATTATACTGTTTAAGTATCTGAATACTGAGGCTTGGGAAAAGTTTCATGAATCAAAGAATATTGTCGATCCACTGAAGTGAATTCTTTTCAGCCGGTACAAACAATTATTATGTGACACGTGGTCCTGTGAACTGCACACAGGTCACAAATCAGACCAAGTTAAGCAATGTCGGTCGCGGAGAGTAGGTGGATGGGCGACTCCTGTGAGTTTCTATAGGTCTTCGGACCCTGAAGGTTACATGGGGTACGGACGAGGGTTGTACATATGCTTCCGTTCACCCAGTGCTATACAGTGAATGCGTGCCCGGCAGCTTTGGTTGTATACTCCCTAGGGAGCAGAGAATGAGGTTTGAGAGCACACTGATCCAATGACTGGGGTAATAATAATAATAGTAATAATAATAATAATATTAAAAATAATGATAACGAACAAGAAATTCAGGGTATTGACACCCTCACACGAAGAGTCGTGGCAGACAGTAGATCCCACCACCCTCGCTCTTCCCTCAATCGCTTATATTTACCAATTATGATGGGAGGGCGTGGGTTGATTAATGTGGAGGCTCTTCATGATAGAATTGTTTTGAGCACTTTTGATCCTCTTTCTGATGATCCTCTTGTGAACCATGCCAAGACTCATGATGAAAACAAGGCATTCCACAGTTTTCTAAAACGAGCCAAGGATGTGGGACATAATCTCAATGTCAGTGTTGATTTTGTTTATGGTTCTGTACTGCTGGACGGTACAGAAATGAGTGTCAACCAAGCGAAGTGCCATATCAAATCGGCCCAGACTCAGTTTTTCAAGGAGAGGCGATCTAAACGACTACTGCATCGAGTTTGTACAGTGTGTTGAGATCGTGAGCAACCCTGTAGAGTCCTTCGCTTGTATGGGGTCGGCTGGCCTGAAAAGTGAAACAGAAGGCTTTCTGTTTGCTGCCCGGGACCAGTCACTTCCCACTCGAACCCCTCAATATGAAATGTATATTATGTAATGAATTTAATGAGACTGTCCAACACATTGTCAGTGGATGCCCAGCTTTGGCACAAATACAGTATCTTAAGCGACACGATGGAGTGACTCGATCATTTTATTACCGTCTTGCCATGCTTGTGGTTTTGACACAGAGGTCCATCCATGGTACGACCCGGAATATGTAGAGGGCGTCATGGAAAATACAGCATCTGACGTATCCAGGCCAACAAACCTGATCTTGTCCTTTTTGATAAATCCAATGAAATCATTTATATTATTGAATTTCTGCCCCTTTTGACACAAATGTGATATGCAGACCTCACTTTCGAAATGTCACGCTTGCATCCCAAGTACCAAGTTGTCCGACTCCCCATGGTTCTCGGTGCCTTAGGTTTGGTACCTCCCAATCTGTTGACTGACATTGGGAGAGTACCCGGGTTTGCTACCAGGAATACAGACCTTCTGACAATCTAAGAAATGCAGAAGGCTGCAGTGTTGAGGAGTCTTCACTTTCTCCGACAGGTTCCTGGCGGGTTTGACAAAACAATGCAGCACAGAGGGTTTGGGGGATCCTGACAGGCTGGTTAGGCTCATCATCAGCTCAGCACCCCACCCACCCCCTCCCTACACGCAGCCCAGACAGCGCTCCCCAACCACTGCAGCCTTCTGCGTTTTATTATTATTTACAGATTAATATAAAAAAATGAAGCAAAGAGGTTTGGGTGATCTATTACAGTAAACTACGGTTATAACGAACACGCTTATAACGAACTGACGGATATAACGAACTTACTTTTTGGTCCCGACTGTTTCCTGTAGTTATGCTGTATATATGCTTATAACGAACTACGATTATAACGAACTAAAATTAGTAGTCCCTTTGAGTTCGTTATAACCGTACTTTACTGTATTATTATTATTATTATTATTATTATAAATAGTAGTAGTTGTAGTAATAGCAGTATTTGCTGTAGTAGTAGTTGTAGTAATAGCAGCAGTAGTAGTAGTAGTTGTAGTAATAGCAGCAGTAGTAGTAGTAGTTGTGGTAATAGCAGCAGTAGTAGAAGTAGTAGTAGTTGTTGTAATAGCAGTAGTAGTAGTGTTGTTATCAGCAATACATCGTGGATGACGTATAAAAATAAGCTAACGCTTAGTTTCTGAAAATATATAAATTTGATAGCGACAAATAACTCCATTTTGATTGAACAGGCGCCCCAGATAGACGGTAACTTGAGATTCCTGAACCTGGGGGAAATCTGGACTTACTTCATTTTGAGCGTTTACATTACAGTAAAGGCTGGGCGGAAGAGAAAATAATATGGTTCAGAGACTGTGAGACCGACCAGTATAGAGGTTCAGTTTAGCGTCCTCAAACTTGGAGTTCATTTACTGCCGAAACAAAAATATGATATGTTGTGTTGTTTTCAAGGCAACTCAGCCCCAATCCACTGGCCACTGTGAGTTAGATCCCTCTGGACTGCGGACCCCATGTTCCGCGCGGTGTTTGTTGATGGTCTTGATTAAAAGATTTTCTTGAATAAACACCACGTCTGAAGTACTTGCGAAAATAAATACACCCTCTGTCGCGAACACACAAAGCGGTAATGGTGGCCCTGGTACAAAAACAAGGTCTACCGTAGAGCCTTTATTACACGACCTACTTGAAAAAACGCTGATATAGGAAGCATAAAAAAATACAGGATCAAATATGCTTGTATACATACATGTATACAGGAAATGTACGCTTGTAAAGAAACACATTTTGAAAAACAGGCACATCCCCGTGGTGATTCCTGGTTAGAAAAGCCCCCCCCCCCCCCCCCCGAGACCCATGTTTGTTGTTAGAGTAGACTTAATGGATCGGGTGGTCAGGCTCGATAACTTGGTTGACAGCGTGTCATCGCATTCTTATTTCGGGGATCGTTGCTAAAAATATCTATCATTATAATTTCGCCATGTAGCTGAAATATTGCCAATTGCAGCGTTTAACACCAAACAAACAAAATGTTGACATTTTTAACATCGTTATTGTTGATATTGTAAAAGATTCTTCAACGGCAAGTGAATTTATTTAAAAAAACAGACACAGGCCACTATTTTAGGATTTACGGTATGTTGTGTGGAATTGACGTTGACTGCCGAAGAGGGCCAAGAACAATGGATACGAGCATAGCTCCACATCAGAATAGTTACTCAAACATTTAAGGTCAACTACAAAAACATATGGATTCTCTAGCGTGTAACCCTCATTCCCCCCGTTGTACAGTTGTAATATTGGAAGACCAGACATTCTAAACAGTCATAATGATGGTCGCTGTAGGCTTGATAACCATACCATCATGCATCTAATTAACTCACATCCACTCCACACTGTTTGATACACAACTATATTCCCAACTGTTTAATACACAACTATATTCCCTACTTCATGTCAGCTTCACCCCGTTTAAATGGAAAACCGCATCCTTCCTACAGGTTCAGCCTTTATCCAAAGCTTCAATGAATAAGAAAACACACAGCAAATTCATTATTGTGCAAAGAAACGAAATTTGAAAATTAACTTACCAGCGCTAGACATAATATCTTCATGGCTGCAGATAACTTGCAGTCTAAAGGAAGCTGAAATATTTCTTGACGAGACAACTGGCGCGTTCGAGCTTTCAATGGTTGTTTGAAACCCTCATAAACACCAGTTGAACGAACGCCCCGCCATAATACACGCCGCAAGGGCAACTCCAAAGTTAAGGCTTAATAAAGGACGCGCAGTTTGATGTCATCCGAGTGTTGAATCTGAATGTCAAGTGTCAACATTTACCGTTTGACATTTTCATCGTTTAGGATGATTATGATGATCAAATTAAAAGTCGCATTGTCTTTCAGTGTTAATGATCTATATTGATAATTGCCTTGATGATGTGATATAATAGCCTGATCATATTTAATAATAGACAAGATTCACAAAACAGATGAATTTGGAATTAGTTCTTTTCAGGAATGGCTTTTGTGGAATTTTGATAATTACATAAATGTTGTATAATTGTTTGACAGAAATATGTGTGAAGGAGTGAGTTTGGTTTTGAAGATTACTAGTATTTCAATTATATCACGGCGTGTTGGCTTGATGTGGGAGACAAACCCGCATTGACTGGTCACAGTAGTTTAGAGTTTTAGAGTTTTAGAGTGAGTGAGTGAGTTTTAGAGTGAGTGAGTGAGTGAGTTTTAGAGTGAGTGAGTGAGTGAGTTTGGTTCAAGGCTGCCCTTAACATTATTTCAGTTTTATCATGACTAGACGAGGGAAGATAACCTAGTTGTTTAAACCCACTAGCACAGATATGTTGCTGACAAACCTAGACACATAATCAGGACGAATCTGAAATTCGAACCCACAATGATAGGTTTCTGGCACGCTCAAGAGAATGGCGGCGGCCGGAGACCACTGGGCCACCCGTGGCCCATCCATGTGCAGAATGTTTAAACACAGCACATACCCAGATACTGAACACCGGAATTTGCAAACGATGTGTTCATAAACGTCAGTCGGGAGCATTGCAGTCGAGGGAGTTTTCATGCTGGTACAGTTGTGTTTATGAATGGATAAAAAGCAACTGCTACTAACCTATTTTCAATAAATCCTTTCGCAGATGAAAATTAATATGTCATGAATCCTAACCTTTACATCCACTATCATGATTGACAGCCTTCATTCAATTCGACACGTATGACTAGTGCACACCGGGGCAACTTGACTCACTTTTCTATAACTACGAACTCATACTGATATACTCAAGAGTGATCACGTTCTTATTTAGCATATAGCACGTGCGTGTCCTGTCTTAATTGGGCTGAAGATTAACCCACGGGGTTTTCTATAGAAGAACCTAAAACTGCTTGTGTTATTTACACAAGTTCTTGTAAACTTTTGTTTAAATTTCACAACAATAAATCAAAGACAGAAACGGTGATGTTCAATTTGATCTCAAACAGCACGCCTGAAACAAGCTATACTGATCTGTGATTGGTTGTATGCACGGCGATTAGAGTGATCGGTCTGTTATCCATGTATTCCATGTCGTCATAATTAATTAAATATTAATTTTCAGTTATGAATGAATTCATATAAACACAGCTACTTTTGTCTTGGAGTTAGTGTAGATTTTAGAGTAAAGAGCAGTAAATCAGTTGCGCCGGATTCGATACGCCATCAGCGGAGTACGCACAGAAGCGGACCTAAAATCTCCCGGAACCCAGTGACCGAGCAGTGACCGAGCTAGTATAACCACAGGAGTCCGTATCTAAAAATAGACACTCTCACGAGGGTGTCTATTTTTAGATACGGACTCCTGTGGTATAACTAAGGCGTAGGTTATTCCTTAAAACGCGAATTGTTTTCAACGTAAAATGAATGCTTCCATTTCAGTATGATATAAGTATTAAGATGGTTAGTTGTATCAAGGATGTACAGAGGTAAACATTGGAACGAAACATCGGCATGTTAACATAAGGTAAAATTAATTATCTATACAGACACATCATTTATAAGTTTTTACCATAAAAAATAGAATGTACTTAAATGAAATAAGTGTTATAAGCATAATCATAATCATAATCATAATAGAAATCAGTCATCATGTGGTCAAAGAATGTCTTAGTGAACATAACAGGACACACTGGCCCACAGTAATAAAAAAAATCTATAGATCTATGAGGGAGGGAAAATAATGTGTTCCCGAAAACAGTTGGGAACACATAGCTGGAATGCAATGTGATTTGCGAGACAAGTGAATTTAATCACTAAAAAATGTAAAATGTGCACAAAGTTACCCGTATGGAAATTCTTGTATTAAACATCACATGAAACAACGAACATGCCTCGACTAACCGCAGAGCAGAGGGAGGGAGCCATCGGTATGTTGCAAATGGGAGGGACACAGGAGCACGTTGCCAGGATCATGGGCTGCTTCAAGTGCACCATCGCCAGACTTGTCACACGTCACAGGCAAACTGGCAGTACTGCAGACAGGCCGAGGAGTGGAAGACCCAAGGTCACGACCCCACAGGAAGACCGGTATTTACGGGTGCTTCTCCCAATGTCCACATTCCTAACTGTGACGTCATCATCTGCAAACAGCCTTGGACATCCAGTCAGCTGGAGGACCGTTGCTAGACGACTCCGCCTGTATGGTCTCCGTGCCTATCGACCTTTCAAGGGCATGACACCGACATCACAGACTGAGATGGGCCAGGACTGTACAGCAGTGCCAGAAGAGAAATTGGCGAAGAGTGCTCTTCGGCGACAAGAGTAGGTGCCAGCTCTTCAAGTCTGATGGGCGGGTTCGAATCTACCGACGACGTGGTGAACGGACGGCCCGTTGTTGCGTCCAAGTAGTGGAGCCTTATGGAGATGGTAGTGTCATGGTCTGGGGTGGCATCTGCGGGGACCAGAAGACAGATCTCACTGCACGTCGTTACACTGGTGAGGTTTTGCGTCCTTTGGTGCTGCCTTTCCTGCAACGACACCCACGGACGCTCGAGTCACTAGCGACTTTCTGAACGCCAACAACGTGACCGTATTAGAGTGGCCAGCCAGATCACCGGACCTGTCGCCCATAGAGCACCTCTGGGACCAACTTGGACGCAGGATTCGGAAACGTCCATTCGTGACCAACTCGTGTTATTCCGGGACAAGCCGAATAGCGACTCTAGCCCCTCACATGGCTATTTTGCGACCGGGTTCCGTCTTAGCGCAAACAGGCATACCTCGTTGCGTAATGGTTCACATATATTTCCCCATATTTTAAATATATTTCAAATGCAATTTAAAGCACATCGGGACATGCGGAATTATACAGTATGATTGAACACATTTAACTGTGTCTTGAGTATATTTTTAGATGCAAGACATATGTAAAATCAAAAATTATTTATGAGGGATTCTTTGACGAAGACCTTGAAAGTCATACACGCATTCTCATTGGTTTGTCGTATTTTCGCACATAACATTCATCGATAGGGGGACGAGTCTTTTCAAAAACCGTTTTTAGATAAGTGTTTAAAAAAACAAAAAACATCAACTGTTACTAAATTCTGCGTCTGTTTTGTTTTAGAACAATTTATTTTGCGGCGTTTCTTTTGCACGGTAGTTTATGTAGTAGTATGTAGCAATGTAGGCAGTTGGATCGTTTAATATGGTCGGAGTTCCATGTTTATTAGACAAGATAATAATATTTGCGTTCTTTTGTTATGGATAATCAAATCCCAAACGATTTAAACGTTTTGTAGAATACCTGATAAATGACATACTGATATTGGTAGCTATATGTCCCAACAGCATATGGCATCATAACAACTAAAAAAAGAAGAAGAAAAACGCTGTAAGCTCAATGTAGATTCTGTCATGAATTATGAATATGTTCGATTGTGAATGGTAGACATTTCAAATAGCAGTAACAACCTCTGACCAAAATAGCTGATTTGACCGCCACAAGACCGCGGAAAATAAAATTAATAGGACATAATTTCTTTCTCACCCTTGTTCGTGTAGGAACAATTAATAATAGTACTAACAAATGTATGTTATAAAATGCAGAGTTATTGTTTGGAAAATGTTCGATTGTTTCTAAAAAGAAGCTTACTTCGGTATGGCAGGACATGCTTACGCTTTGGTGTCGTCACTCATGATCAGTGAGGGGCGGTTGGGTAGCCTACTGGTTTAAGCGTTCGCTCGTCACGCCGAAGACCCGGGTTCGATTCCCGACATGGGTACAATGTGTGAAGCCCATTTCTCGTGTCACCCGTCGTGATATTGCTGGAATATTACTAAAAGCGGCGTAAACCCATACTCACTCACTCATTTTCAGTGAGCCATTCATAATATTTTCACCACCATTTTGCCTTTTACGCCCAATGAAATCTGATTCGAGAGATAATCGAGACTAATAATTTTCTGGTGTAGACGTTACGTTTTTTATCTGCTATTATCTGGATACAAGAAGTATGTTGTAACATAAGTTTGTTTCTTTGTTGTAAAACACCACACTCAGCAGTATTCCAGCTACATGACGGCGGTATGTAAATAATCGAGTCTGGACTCCAGTGATTGACATCATGAGCACCGATCCACGCCATTGGGATACGATGACATGCATCAACTAAGACAGTTAGCCTGACGACAAGCAAAGTCGCTTCTGGTGACAAGCATGGGTTGCTGAAGACCAATTCTAAACAGGATCTGCAAGGGTGCTGTAATATAACTAATCAGAGCAAATCATAATTTAGCACAAAAAGACATGTTGTAGGGTCAGATTGTATCAAGATGAAAAATAGAGCCTTTTAAAAAAAAAAACGGTTGCAGTTTTATACAAAAATGTTCAAAGAAAACAATTTTTTTTTTGAACATTTTTGTATAAAACTGCAACCGTTGTGCCTTACAAACATATATGCAACATATATACAGCAACTGGCCGGGACCAAAAAGGCAAGTTTGTTGTATCCGTCAGTTCGGTATAAGCGTGTTCGTTATAAGCAGTCTACTGTATCTTTTATAAACAATGGTAGCATCAGTATGGGGCAATATTAACTAACAATTAAATTATACGAAGTTCCTTACTTCTCCCGTAACAGCAGTGACATATTATTTGCAAGTATGTATTTAAATGCCCCAAAGCAATATTATGATGTATTAGGGTTGCAAACTCTTCAGGGAAAGAAAAAATATATTTTCTAGTTCCATGGGTCTTATGTCTATCTTACAAATTATGAAAACGACTGGTATATATAATCAGTGAGTGAGTGAATATGGTTTTACGCCGCTTTTAGCAATATTCCAGCAATATCACGGCGGGGGACACCAGAAATGGGCTTCACACATTGTACCCATGTCGGGAATCGAACCCGGGTCTTCGGCGTGACGAGCGAACGCTTGGACCACTAGGCTACCCGAGCGCCCGGTATATATAGAATGTCTTAACTGGACAGTTATTAGTATATCAGACAATCTGTACCCTTTCTATTTCAGCCCTCTTGGGATGAGAAGCAAGCATGCACATCCGATGTGCTTATATCGTCTCAACTTATATCTTTGTTTGTTTGTTTAACGCCATTTAAGTTTAGTTCTCATTCATAATGGATCACATCTAAAAACTATCATAAGTACTTCTAAAAGCCTTTTCTCAATTCTTAAAGTACATTACATTGTCTATGGCGCTTCGACTGTGATGTCACGATGGCGTGAACATTTCTTGCTTCATTTCCTTGATGTGTATCCACAAAACATTGTTGTTTAACGCTAGCAATATTCCAGCTATACGACGGCGGTCTGTAAATAATCGAGTCTGGACCAGACAATCCAGTGATTGACGTCATGAGCACCGATCTACGCAATTGGGATACGATGACATGCATCAACGAAGTCAGCGAGCCTGGCCACCCTATCCCGGTAGTCGCCTCCTACGACAAGCATAGTCGCCTTTTACACCAAACATATATCTAGTTAATGGCGTTCGGGTCATCGAGGTGTCACTGTTTTTGCACTGCCTCCTATGCAACGTTCAAGGGCAAACTTCGATTGTATTATCAATTATATTCTCTTCCTCGGGCCGAAAAGGTTGTGTATGGATTTGCGGCCGGGCTTCCAGACGACCTCGGCTGACACGACAACTGCCTTTCTACGGTAACTGGGGTATCATTGGGTGTGGACAGCACCCGCAACTCATTCTTACACTTCACCATGAATGCGGAAGGTTATACTTTCCCCGCTACTCGGAACATTCTGACCAGCAAAATACACCCCTATATCTACTGACCACATTCTTCACAGGGAAGTCCAGCATAGCATGGCTTTCTCAGAATGGAGCCCACGTGACCACGGACAGTTGTAGTGTGTAACCCATGCCCAGGCACCTTGGTCGTCTAGGTATAACTTACTTGAGTAACAGATCATGTTTACATTAAATTGAACTCACTGTGACTATTCAATATATGTCGCGTAAAGGCCCCCTTCTTTTGTGCAATTTTCTTGTCGGGATTTGACTTAGGAACTTAAATTTTGAAAAATAATGTCTTGTTGGTAAAAAAAGTCTATTTGGCTGATCCTTTCAAAGAATAACAATTGCATGCCTACCAAGCGCTGAGGGAACAGATATGTCTCAAACAAAAATAACAGCTTGCATGTACTCATGAAATGGAAAGCTAATTAGCACAACACGTAACCATTCGTTCAGGCAAATGTTTTTATCACGTCTTTGATTTGTTTGTTGTTTAGCGCCGCACTCAGCAATATTCCAGCTACATGACGACGGTCTGTAGATAATCGAGTAAGTAGTTCGATGTTCTTTCTGTAACTGACTGCTATGGCTGTTTGACACCCAACAAACTCTTCCATAATGACGCGGGGTATAGGGTTTGTTTGTTTGTTGTTTGACGCCGCAATCAGCAATATTCCAGCTATATGAATATGAGTAAATAATCAAGTCTGGACCAGACAATCCAGTGATTGACATCATGATCATCGATCCACGCAATTGGGATACGATGTCATGCATCAACCAAATCAGCGAGCCTGACCACCCGATCCTGTTAGTCGCCTCTTACAACCATCATAGTCGCCTTTTATTGCAAGCATAGTCGCTCAAGTCTTTGACAACTCTAATTTATAAAAGAATAGATCCACATCTCCCATAACTAAAATGAAATGTCTTGCATACAAATGGGATCTTATCCATGAGATCAATCGTTGTCGCATGCCCAGCAAAAGCTAATGGTCACGTGTGGTTCAAGGTCGAATACAAAGATCTTCATTAAGGTTTAAGGTTTAACGGAAAACCACATTACTTGTAGGTGAGGGTTCAGACTTTGGCTTCTTGCTGTAATACAACCTCAAAACCTTTATCATTTTGGCTTTCTTATTAACGTAAGTTACCTTAATATAGATACAGGTGCAACTTAATCTTCTGGGCGCCGTTGTAGAAAACAACCTCAGCACTACGACTGTCGTAAGTTAAGTCTATGTTAATATATGGGAGTTACGATCACCTTAGCGTAAAGATCGCTTTGTGCAACGCTGCCCGGGAAAGAAACATGATCTTTAATTCATCTGTGACATACATAATGAATTTGTTGCAATGTTGTCGAATGTCTGTCCTATTCTAGCTATGGATATTGTGATAATTAATCTGGGGAATCGAAACCCGGGTTGTCGCGTGACGACTGACGAGCGAACGTTTATCAGTTGGCGATCCCAACGCCCCACAGATCTTGCTAAACTCGAACCTCCAGCCGTTATATTATTTACCAGTTTCTCATACGT